CTAATTTATATCTTAAATCAACCAGAAAATCACAAGCGGGTGACGAAGTCACCCGCACATCTAACATTACTAGTTATATATTAAATTAATATGAATAAAACTGAATAATTTGAAGAGCATTAGTAATTGTAAATAAGTATTTATTTTTAAGAATATATAAACACAAAAAGAACGACAAATCTGAATTTTAATAATCAAATTGCAATTATTAAAACTAATAAAGTATTTACAATTTCTGTTAAAATGGAAGAGTCGTTAGAATATTGAATAGGAATCTTCGATTCTCGTAATTTATAATATCGATGCACTTCGACCTCATCTCTAATAAGTGTATTTAAACGCAATGTACACCCTGTTACCTGTATTCCTATGATACCACATTGTTTTTTTGTTAATCTGTGACTTTTATGCACCCAGAACATCCCATCATTAACCTCATGCCATAATTTCACATAATCGTCGTCTTCTTTTTGGTCGGTGCAGATAATTCGAGATCATTCCGAATACATTAGTTCATAATATTTACCATTTTCTTTAGTTATGAACATAATGTCAGGTTTCCTCCCCATTCTTCCATCACCTCTTCTATTCGCACTTGCGAGACTTTGTCATTCGAAACTAAAAAAAAAATTAAAATATATTAAAGTTTCTAATATTGAATATTTATTGACTTACGTGGTGATAAATGCTAATTCTCCAGAAGGATTGTTATACAAAACAGCATTAATTAATAAAACAATAATATTATTTACGTAGGTGCCTTCATTCAATGACTTAAAAAATTCAGGACGAAAGGCTGGATTGCACCAAATATTTTTAAATGTCTCCAAAATTTTTTTCGTAACTTCTATAAGTTTATCATCACTTTCTTTCCAGCCTTCGCTATGTGACAATCCATATGGTAATCTCGATACATTTCATGATGGAAAATCAGATATAAAGTGATTACATTCTTCCTGTATAACAAAAGGCATTGATGCAGGTACCATTTCGTCTAGAGGTTTCTTTAAGATCATAAATTTAATATTTATAATAAAATTTAGATCGGTTGAATATAAAATGCAGGTTTATACATACTAGAAATTTTTTCTTTGCTTATTTTTTAATTTTTTAACCAAAACTGAATTATCACTTATAACCTGACTTGCTAATGGATTTCGTCAAGTTAGCTTTGAAAGTTCTGAAACAGATATATCATTCAAATTAGCTATTAATACTTGGTAAAGTTTTGAGTGGTGGATGCATGAGATGCCATTCTTAATATGGAATTTCTTGTCAAACATTGATATATTTTAGGATTTGCCAAAACCAATAAATTATATATACTTTGTATATTACTTACCGAAAGCTTTCCTCTTAATTTATTTATATTATTGTTAATCTGTTCTGAAGTAAGAGGCTTCTCCTTATTCTAAAAAGATATACATTAATAAACCTTTGTTTTACCCAACTATCCAACTATTGTAAACACATACCGTTTTTAATATTCCAACATTCAGCAAGTTTAGAATAGAATCGAACGCAATATCGAACTAGACGCAATTATAAAAACAAGTTAGAAGTTATCTTTGAATAATGCGTGCTATATATATTCTTAACCACATGGCAGTCAAAAAATACAAAGACACATCTGGTACAGCCTGGCTACACGAATGGGACTTTGTGAGGTGTTATATCTTCTATAGTAAAACCTCCCTAAGTGCACCCCCCCTTGGGATCATAGTAAAAAAAAAAAGCAAAATGTGCACTTAAAGAGAGTGTGCATTTATAGAGAACAAAATATATAGTGCTCTTATAAGTTGG